ACATCCCAACGGAGGGTCTTGCCTTGGCCGCGTTCGAGGAGTCGTCGCGTGAAAATGCCGGGGAACACCTTGCGGCCACAAGATCGTCGCGTGTGATCGTTCGTATGTAAATCCCCGCGAATACACCTAAAATTGGAGCACCTATCGGCGATCGAGAAGCTTATTGGGGAATCGGTAAGTTGGCAATCGATTGATGTGTTTTGACGTGTGCGTACAATCGAGCGACAAATCTACTGCATGTCTGGCGAACGGCAGAAAATTGTCGGCGAATTGCGAAACGGCGCGCGTAATCGTCATGGTAAGTCGTTGAGCTATTTTATAGCTTGTATTCCGGTGATCAATGATGATAGACAGTAACGTACGAAAGAATTAGAGAAGGGAACGGGAATGAAGAAAAGAAGTGCTAAGAAGAAGAAGGAAAGCACGTGCGAAAAATATTTAGAGAGGATTTTTTATGCAGAGACTGTTCCTTTTCTCTTTTTCTCTTTCTTTCTTGGAAATGTTTTCCTACGTGAGTATTTGACCACAGCTGTTATATATACAATATATATTTTTTATATCAATTTATTAGTTTATTAATTAAAAATATTAATGAATATTAATGATAACTTAGAAAAATTTAATATTCTAAGTATTAAATTAGTTAGTGATTAATTATTTCCTTTGAGTATTAAAAATATTGTTTCTAATATTAAAAAAAGTAATTAATTATTAACCAATTTATTACACTACACAATATTAAATTTCTCGAAAGAAAACCGGGAAGATAAATAAGATAAAATCATATAAAATAATTCTATTGTGTTTACCGATAAAATTATCTGTTTCATCGGTTGGAAGATTTTGTGATGTTAGAAATCATAGTTGTAAGTGCGCATAAGATGATGCTAACTTCATATTACGATTTTCCAAATAACTTCGAAAGATTCCTTTATTTATTCTCTCAATATTACTTTAATATTTAAGTTATTTTATATATCATAGATATATAGAACTTCGGTGAAATTGATTCTACTTACTACTTAGAAAACGTAGTATTTGTGAGACAGAGCGTCATTAATTAGCTTAATATAATTAATTTATGACATAACGTGATTTATAATACTCGTAGTATTGCTTAGGACAGATTTAGGAATTATAATTTATTTCACTGATGTTGCTGCGTACATCTCAGACGATTAGTCATCGTCAGAATTGTTCATATTCATGGATTCACAGATACTTGGCTTCATGAATTCAAAATCCATTGACCTTTGTATTTGCATATCCTTGAGTTAAATCTTTAGATCAACTAAATTATTTTATAATGGTTGCTTCAACAAATTGTGGATTTAGATTTTAGATCCGAAAATTGTTTGTTCTAATTTCATAAAATTGATAAATATCACTTGTTTGAATTTAGAGACACATTATATAAATAAAACCACTTTTATATCATTATTAAAAAAATATATTATTATGTAATTAGCAAGTTTTATTTTTAGGAAGTTTTTGCTAGTTTGATCTTCATTATGTATGATTATGCGTTTTATTTTATTGCAGATATAGCTTTATGGATAGCTCTTCAAATATTATAATATCATATTTTCAATTGTTTTTATCTTACTTTTCATTCAGATAAACTTTCTGTTAAATGATCTTGTGCATTTTTAATTGTATTATTAATTGTAAATATAGTACAATAAGATTACCTCATAAAAATTTATTAAATATAATTTGTAGTTATTATCAGTTATAGAATTTTTTTTAGTCGCTGTGACTAATAGAAATTTTGGATTTATAAATCTTCGATTATTAGTCGCAGTTTGTCGTAAATTTTGTTTTCGCTAATACAAACTTAGAGCGATTTGAGTGAAGAAAATAGTTTATTACTTTTAACGTGCTTTTTTAATCTGTCCCTGTCATTATTTTGAAAACAAACGTTTTCCAATCGCGCAATCACGCTTTTCGCTTTTCACACTTGGGACTCGTTTTGACATTTGCTATTAATGCTCCACTTTGTGGAAAATGTCGCGCCCGTGGTGTCCAGTGCAAATAACCGCACTCGTGTCTCGTTATTATTTTACTCCAGTTGACGGAGGACATCACAATGTTGACGTCACTTCGATTGAACGAGAGCGAACTTCTAGTATCTCCCTCTCTCTTTAAGAGACGTCATAAATGACGTCAGATATTTGGAAAATCGATTAAGTATAGGCTCGTCCCAATTTTCAACAGAAAAGTTTAATAATAGCCTAATAGTGAAGAGGGGATAACGAGATTCCAAGATAAAGAATAATAGGATTTATTTCTTTATCTATTTCTTTTTCTACCTAAAAGAGTGATTGCATTAATTCTGTTTGAAAATAGATTAATTAGAATTTTCGAATTGAACCTATTATAATTTTAGTTGACCTGAATTCTAATTGATGTGATCGGAATCTTCTCTGTCTCATCCATTTTCAACCAGAAATTTTTCTCAGTGCGTGTTATATCTATATATTAGTGCGAATATATATCTTTGCGTTCATATTAATCATTTTCTTTTCTATTTATATCAAATATCCTATTTTTTTTTAGTTTTATTGTCCTAAAAATGTTCTATTCATTAAAACAAATAAATATAAAGAAAGAAATAATTTTATATCAGCTTCATCAAGAAAAAAAATCACTTATGAGTGATGAAAACACTTACAGAGAAAGCTCGTTGAAGAAAAAGTGCTACTTTAGTACTTTCAATTATTCATTCTATCTGTTTAATTATGTGATATGGCAAGCCTGTTGTTATATTGCGGTTAATGGAGATGTACCACATATATGTATACAACGCGGCCTCGGAGAATCTCGCGTGCCGAGCGACGCAATTAGGTTTGCGCAGCTGAATGATGGGCTATGATAAACCGCATATGTCCACTACTAATTATGATCTACAATAATTAGAAATTGAGACTCAAGAAGCATGGTCGATTTGTTTTCCGACAACGTTCGTGCTTCGAAACGAGAAACTCTCTTAGCGGTTAATAATAAGTACGTGACGAGAATAAATGCAGAAGATGCTTTTAAGATTGAGCATGCATTAGGATTGAAGAGAAAAATCTCGAAAAATTATCTAACACTTATCTCTCATCATTGACCTATAAGTCTGATAAATTTATAAATTAATACAAATTTGCTTAATTTCTTGCTTCGCAGAATTTCATCCCTATAGACTTTTTTTTTATTTTAAGGACTTTTCCAATAAGTTGTTAACTTGATTTTACATTTCTCTGTTTTCAACTTGATTCTTTAATTCTTTGGGTCTATAATTAATATATAAATTTACTTAATTTCTTGCTTCGCAGAATTTCACCCCTATAGACTTTTTTTTATTTTAAGGACTTTTCCAATAAGTTGTTAACTTGATTTTACATTTCTCTGTTTTCAACTTGATTCTTTAATTCTTTGGGTCTATAATTAATATATAAATTTACTTAATTTCTTGCTTCGCAGAATTTCACCCCTATAGACTTTTTTTTATTTTAAGGACTTTTCCAATAAGTTGTTAACTTGATTTTACGTTTCTCTGTTTTCAACTTGATTCTTTAATTCTTTGGGTCTATACGTATTCAGAATTTTTCTTTCTATTTTCAGAGCTTTGTTCTCATGAAACTTCCAACTCTCTGAATCCATTGTTTCGCGTATTTTTTTTAAACGATCTCTTGATTCTGCAAAATTGTGGAATACATCACACGAGGATTTAATAAATAATCTTTGGTATAAAAAAAAAAAAATTTATATTATATATTTATATTATACATACGCGTTGTGGGTTCTCTTATTTCTAGCTACATGTATAATACGTCGTACATTTGATGAACGAATGAATAATATTATCTCTTCAAAAAATGAAAACCTTATTTTAACAAGTATATTGAGTATATACATAGATCATACATATATCATTTGTCTTAGAAGTATAAATAATATTTTAGTAATGATTTAATTAATAATCAAGAAATAATAAATCAAGATTTATAAATATAAATAACAAAATCGTATTTCGGAATTAATTTTGAGCGGATCTTATATCAAGTATCTTGCTAGGTATGTTTAAAATTAGAATAATGACCATAATCTTTAATTATTTGACAGTAAAATTTTAAAAGGTATGAAAAATATGATATAAATTTTAATTTATCTCTTACTTTTCGTTGAAAAAGAATCGTTCTTTTGTCAAACGTGCACATTATGAAGTCTTCTATATACTTGATTTCAAGGAAGAATAAAGTAAATGTAACGCAGAAATCTTTTTCATGCTGCAATGGTAATTGCAAACACATCTTCATATTACAATAAAGCAGTACAAGTCGCTTTTTGAGAATTCTAATGGCAAAGGAGACATTTATATATTTTTTAAGCGATATATGAAATCGTGGTACTTATGCATTTGGAATATTTTTGCTTGCGTCTTATTTTTATTTGCAAATGTCACTGCGAAAATACAAGGGGGAGGGGAGGATGCATTACGTTTAATTACTGGAGAGAATCAAGGATATGAAGTAAAGAAGAAAAAAGGAAGTGAAGGAAATTAACGAACATCAAGGTCTTAACCTTTTAAGCAAAAACTCATTTGTTCAGCAAATTGATACGTAGATCTTTTATGCGTCGTACACATTTCGGCCGGATGTTAGGTCACACCAGGAGTGTGCCTACTCTCGGAGGGTGAAAAGGAAACTTCGACCCGCCCTTTTGAAATGTCAAAGGTTGCCGCGCAAGTCGCATCGACGTACCCCCGTTTCCCAGGAAAGCAGCTCCGTGCGAATCTGGCAGCATTGTCTCTACTCGTTCGCAGGATAATTCTCTATCATCCGCGAGAAAGCAAACAAGCAGAAAAATAATATTTCAGACATCTGTTTAAAAAAATATTAATACGGATCTCAATAACAATCTTAAGATCAATAATAATGCGCTCCGATTTGGGACACATATTCATACATATTTATCAATAAAACAAATAAACATCAACGAGGCGTCAACGGGAAGGAAATCATGCATAATTCATGATGGATTTCCATTCCGTCGAAAATCAAGTTTACGAAGTTTAATCGAATAAGTATTGTAAATCTCTTTCCATATATAGGTCAATATTATAACAAATGCGGGGAACGGAAAGTCTTATAAAAAAGACGCATAATCGATGGCCGATACATTTCTGGTAAATGTGCAAATAAGTTAAAAGTGGGCGTTCTTTTTTTATCGACAAAAAAACTCCTATGTCTGTCGGGGTTAATAATAATCTTAACGATTCGCCGTGATCGATGCTCGGAGCCTTTGATATTTTCGCACAATTATTGTATTAATACCGTACCGGAATATCCGAGCCACGCTTCTCTCGAAAGGTCAGACCGGTGACATTACAATTCCATCGAATTCTGAAAATTTCCCATTCGTCGACCGCGAAGTGAAAAGACAAATATTCGCGACATCTGAGAGACGTAATTAAATGCCACGTGAAAGATTCCGAGGCAGAATTGAAGCTCGAGCCCTTTGTCGTCGGCTCGCAAACAATTTTATTTTCCTTCGTTCGCTCGATATTCAGTCTTTATGGGAATGGAAGGCCAAATATAGTTTCTTGGCGAGTGACGCCGGATATTGCGACTAGGACTAAATTTAGGTGTGCAGGCCTATATTACCCCTCTCGCTTCTTTAGAGAACGTTATACAAATATATACGAAACCCTTTTTTTACACTCATATTAGATTTATAATCTGAACAGAACGTTTTTTTTCGTCGTAATATTTTGCATACATTATATAATAATTATATGTTACTATATATTTGTTATTATATTATCATAAAATCATCATATTATTTTATAATTACATTATAAAATTATAATTACAATTATGTATTATAATAATGTATAATAATAATATAATAATTATATAATTGTATTTTACATACTTTTTTTTCTCATCAGATTAACTCTGATGACAAGTATTATTATTATTATTATTATATTCAGATAAAAAAGTTATTTTGAAGAAACGATTGCGACCGAGCTTTCCAAGAAAATATTTGATCGAAGAGGAATATGTGTTGCGAGAGGTAAATATGAAAATATTGGAAAATCTAGAAAAGCAGGTGGCGGACTGTTTACCAGCTTCCGTCTGGTCCAAACATAGTGACGTATCGATAAAGTGCGGATTAAGCGATGTTCCTGTTTATCACGCATCCGTTCGTAAGCGCGACGTCTTCCTGCTTAAGTGCACTCTGCCATTAATCTCATCTTCTGGAGGGATTAAACGGACACATTTTCTTCGACGTCTCGTTAGTCGTTGCCTTAACAAAGAGTATCGAACCGTTGCTTTTAGGGTTTCGCAATTGAGTGTCGTATTACTTAACCCAAATAACACATGTCACAAATCCAAGTTTATCTTCTGTTTTTCATAGATCCTACGTTTTCTTGCGCACATAAAAATATCCATTTTTTTATCTATGCCCATTTCCATCAATGTAGATGAACTTTTTAATCCTGGTTCTCAATCTGTTTCTAAGAATTAATAAAAAAATAAAGAATAGATTGAACCGAGATTAAAAATTAATTTAACTACTTGGTAGAGCGGGCATCAGTTATTTATTCGTACCATAGATCTAATAAACTATACATTCCCTGTGATTTTAGCATCTCTCTGCTCCATTAGAAATAATTGAACATATCAGCATCTCTATTCAACTCGACTACGTTAAAGAGAAAGAGAAGGAGAGAAATATTCAAGCTACATCACTCTTTCTAAACTGATAGTGACAACTTCATAGGGATGTGCAATTCTTATTACGTCCATAAGTCTATTCACGTTGTATGAAATCTCTTAAGAAGAAAAAGATTTTTCTTCTTAAAAGGAGATAAATATATTTGGACATTGAAGAGAGAGAAAGCGAAGATGCTGAGTGCAAAAAGTACAAGCAAACAGACTTCGTGATAGAAGAAAATGATAGGTCTATTGCTTGTACTTTTTGTATCTTAGAAGTTCTTGTTGTATTTTTGTAACCTTCGCTTTCTCTCTTTTCAACGTCCGAACGTATATTTATCTCGTTTTAAGTGCAAACATTTTTTTAGAATTTTATACAACGCGAACATTGTAGATCTATAATAATAGCGTTAACATACTAGAATAACCAATCAAATTTGAGCCCAAATTTATTTCCCTACTGCGCATTCACGGAAATATTACACCTATCTTATTCCTGATTACGTGTATGGTTTATACTGAATTTTCAGCAATTCGCTACTCAATGGCCGCGTTCAGCAAAACACAACAGTTTTGTAACTGTTTTATGATTGTCTGCTGAGATAGGATCACTCTCTAGATCTAAAAGTATAATCCAATCAACGCGAAGAAAATTTCCAACAGTTGCAAAATAAAAACGTCCTGCTAAATCTGAATGCAATCACTTTTCCGGCTGTTAAACCATACATGTCAATGGACTATCGCGAAATAATCGTGACAGTAACCTTAAAAAAAAAAACCTCCCTGTGGTTAGAATCCTTAGGTCTCGATTGCGCCTTTCATCTCGAATTTCCCTTGAGAGAATCCGAAAACGCAACCAAGAGGATTCGTAAGGCGATACACGAGACGTAACATTCGTTGAAAGATGTCATTCGCTCGTATCTGGAGACTGTCCGATTTGCGATGCCTAACATTTCGACATTTCCGACGAAAGCTCGGCATATCCGAGAGATCGAAGGGCTGCGACTCGCGAACATCTCGAGAAACCGATCCATGTTCCTCGTCGAAGGATGATGAGTACTGTCCTCCTTGCCCATCATGCCCTCCGCCGTGGAGACCATCGTGTCCTCCTCCCCGGTGTGGGCCATCAATTTATTACCCGCACGTCGGTAATGTTGGAAATTCCTTTAAGCGTATCTCTCGAATAAACTTTCTCTATAAATTCGTAACTTGGCGCACTCGGAATTCTGCGGCGCTGAGATTTAGATGACTTGAAATTAGAACGAAATGCGAACGATGATCGAAATGGAGGCTGTATATGCGAAAAAGAACGGTTTTGTTAAAGAATTTAATCATTTAGCTAAATCTGAAAATCATTTTGTTCGGTCATCAAAATAATTATGCGTTAATGACAATGCTGCGAGATGTTTTAACATTCTAGCGATTCTCTTCAGAATTTGAGTGTCTTACGTAATTAATTTTGACGTTTCAAACAAAATTATTCTTAGATGTCTATGGCTAAATTTTTAGGTACTTCAATAAAAGCGTTTTTTTCCATGTATAGGAAAATGAGAAAGGACAAAATCATATGTTACTCTAGAAAAATATAACTTTGGGTTTAAACTATTATAAATTTCGTTTATTATATACGCGTGTAAAATATAAAAGATAACATAATTATTTTTTTAATATACGTAAATTAAATACAAAATTTGCAAAAGGAGAGAAAGTTATTAAATATCATATACTTTAATCAAATTCATATTTTTCTCAATTTCCTGCAAATTGAAACAAAATTTGAATACAAGTAATTAATGTTATCAGTAATAATTCGATATCTAATTGAATTTGCTTTATTTTAATATTTCGCTTCTTTATTTCGATATTGCACGTTCATCAAGAGAAATATTTCATAGATTGAAAATTTGGCACGAATTTAATTTATCGTTAAGAGAGATGCCGAGTGCAATGCTGCAATGCAATTTAATTTCGCCGTGCAAATTCCTAGCAATATACATTATTAACAATCGCATATGTAAATAACAATACGATTGTTTCTGAATAGATCCACGCAAGCAGGCATTTTGGCGTATACTGTCCCTCTGCGTCGCGTTACCGATCGTCGTGATCATGTCGGCAGTTACTTATGCACGTGTTAAAGAAAAAGCGAAGAAGCCGAGGGAACCGTTCCAGGATCTCCCGTACATGTATCGTCGGACTAAGGTTCTAGTTGGTCTCATTTGTTAGAACTGTCAAGAGAAATAAGACTTAAGGAATCTTTCTACTGTTACAATCCGGTGGTTGCCTGAACTTAGATTCTCGTGTGAATCTCGTTTTATAAATGTCGAATTTTATGATTGATTCTTTATCAGCGAGAGTTTAATCGTTGACGAAGAATCAAACAATTGTATTTCGTATATAAAATCATTGCAGATTAATTACAGAGCGATTGTAGATCGCTCACGAAATTTATTATTCTATTCTGCAACTGAGTTGATCAAATATGAAGATGAGATATTATTGATCTGCCATTAAATCGCATAGTATTGTTCTTGTAGAATTTATATTACGAATTGCATTGATTAAGTATAAAGTTGAACAATAAGATATGTATTTGCTTTTGCATTTTTGATGCACAATGAAAGTGAAAAAGCAAATCAATTTTGATCAATCTATTTTGAAAATATTATTTTTCAAATATTCAATGCACAACTGTTTAAAGAATTTATATCCATATTTTTTTCAAATTTTGCAAGATGATTCTAGAATTTAAATCTTTATTCGGTTACATTTATTTATTATGATAGTTTGTTGTATCTCTTTGATAGCCGGACCAATTTTTTTGGTGGTTTCAGTTGCACTGTCTGACAGAATTTTATCTTTTTTTTTGCAACACAAATGTGAAAGGTCATTTTTGACTAAAAATATGGACAAAAATTTGACTAGTCACAATTTTGAAAAAAAATGGGATTGAAAAAAATAAAAAACGATGATTTGAAAGTTTTCGTGACATTGTGGCACCGATATCTTATTTTTTTCTAAATTTCATTAATGTCACGCAAAAATATCAATTTGTAGTTTTAAAATGCATTTTAATTCGTTTTGATATGATTTTTCATTTCCGAGTTATATATATTGTAGATACACGTGTTACGTAGGAAAAGAATTATTTTTCAAATTGTTATATTTTGAAAACGAAAACACCACATCACATTGAAATGAATTAAAATGCATTATACACTGTAAAAAATAAAATGTTAATTTTTACTTAAAGACGTTTAGTGGACTTTCTGAGACATGCAAAAACACTTTTGTGTTAATTTTAACATTTTGTATGTCGCAGATAGTCTATTAAACATCTTTAAAATAAAATTAACGTTTTATTTTTTACAATATAAAATTGAAAATTGATACTTTCACGTGATATTAATAAAATTTAAGAAAAAATTTGATACTAATGCTACAACGTCATGAAAATCCTCAAAATCATTATTTTTTATTACTTTGATGCCACTTTTCTTAAAATTGTGACGTGCTAGTTAAATTTTGTTAACGGATTTGTTTTTATAAGGCAAAAATACGGAAATGTCTATTTACATTTGTACTGCAAAAATTGTGTTGGACAGCGTTATCGATTAATGAAGACCCATAATTCTACTGACCTTACTCCAATTTGCCTATACAATAAATTTCATTATAATTTTTCCTGCACTGAGAAAAATTTTTGATTGAAAGTAAACGCACCATAAGATATTGACTGTAGATATTAATCAGAATTTTGGTTATCTCTAAACTAGAATTATCATAGGTTTAATCAGAAAATTCTGATTTGTTCATTTTCAACTAGAATTCCAATTGACAACAAATTAAAGCAATCAGACTCTTTTTTTCAGTATATATTTCATAAAATTTGCAAAAGAGAGGACAATGGAAGAAAACTCCATTTCTTCTAATTTTGGATCTGTGAACAGAGTCATTTTCCAGTTTTATTACTCCTCTTTTTAAAAAAGATTTAAGTCAATCTTTTTTAGTGACTCGAGACAAAATTATTTGTTTATCTATCTAGAAATCAAGAAACCGTAAAATTGCTCATCTGTCAGAGGCTTCACGCAATAGATAGTAAATCAATCGTGATCTACTTTACAAATTCTCTGAATATTCGATGCGTGAAATGCTAAGAGATCCGCATGTATACCTTCCTTTTCTCTTTCACAGCCATTTCCTTGGGGCGATGGCAATCACTCGTTCTTTCATAATCCCGTGATGAATCCAATACCGCCGCATGGTTATGAAGTCGAAGATCCGAATGCACCCAAGAAAGCGGGCAATTAGTAGAAGCGTGGGAATAACTTGGTCCTGCTAGTGGCAGCTGAAAATAGCGGCGAGACAAATATGACAGCTTGTCTGCTCGACACGCGGCGATCGTTTTAATTTTTAATCGTTTCTTGTCGCTTTAGCGAGAGAGAGAGAGAGAGAGAGAGAGAGAGAGAGAGAGAGAGAGAGAGAGAGACGAATATTACATGTGAAATATTAAATTTTAAATGGAGCTTTAATTAAAGCTTAAGACTCTCGATTGCGTAAAGTGATTGCAGCTCGTTCATTACTTACGATTCGATAACATTTATTTATTTGAAATTATTACGGAAATAATTGTTTGAAATCCCTGTATAAAAGTTTAAATAAAAAAAATTCCCAAAGAGTCACTTTGTTAAAATTGTTTCTCTTACATTATTTTGTCTTCCAACATCGAGGTTCTATTTTTCTCCGCGTTTTATAGATCGTTTTAGTCTATTAAATTTAAGCTTGTAAAAAAAATTGGGAAACAACGGCTCTTTACAATTTTCAGATTTTAAAAGATGCACAGAAAAATTCATACTGTAAGTTACAAGCAAGTAATTGCTTGTTTCAAGTATTTAAAAAATTCATATTCCGCAAATTTATTATAAAAGTTTATCGCAAGCATCAAATTTATTCAAAGTGTATTCTGCATCCTATAATAAATTTATATAATCCTTCAATTAAGATTATTAAAACAAATTGCTTATTACATAAAGTCGTTTCTTCGATCAGTCTTATAACATTCTTCAAAAGAAAATAAATTCTTGTTTTGAATAATACAATGAGTATTTTAAAAATTTATAATAAGTATATTTTATTATCAAATTCTTTGTTAAAGATAATCGTTACTTAAAAAAACGTGAATCGAGTAACCATTTTTCTTAGCGATAGAATAATATTTTTCTGTATGATGTAAGTACTTGTGGAATCCTGCGGGAGGCTCGGAAGAGGTATCAAAAGGTATCAAAAGGTGCAGGATATTTTCAAGATATCTCGCTGTCGAATTATGATGGCGAATATCCCGAAAGGGTTAAAATGACTCCGACAGTGACAAGACTCGCACGCCGGTATCGCGGCGTCGCGACGCCGTTTTTAGTCTCGCCTTCTCGCGAAGGTTCGCCGGCGCGCGAGTGGCGCAGCTGGTCTCGCGCCTTCTTGGTCGTTCGGGGGCGATCAATAGACCGGGTGGCGGTGGAGGACGGTGGTTGTCCGGGCAGTGGCGAGTTAACCACCCCGGCGTCACATTTCTATTATCTAACAACAATCTCCAGTATCACGTCTCCATTATCTGGAAACGATCCCCGGTGAGATCTCCCGTACCTATATCCGCCACGTAGATAAGAGTTATCTTCGAGGTGTCATTATGAATATTGAATCGTCAATATGACACTCCTCATTTCGGAGATGCGCATACGGAGATCTGTAAATGTGTCGATTGTCTTTCACATTACTTGAAGATAAATCTTGGTAATCTTCGAGATTATTCTTTTCAACGTCATTACGCGATTACGAAGAAGCGGTTCCTTCATGGAGAATTCTTCAGCAAATTGCTTTTGCAATATTTTATTCGTTCTTACACGATATTACTGGTACACACGAGAGATATTACTGGTACACTTTTATATCATACATTACGATTATAAAAGTGCACTGGTGATACATCGGTGTAAAACGTAAAAGCATGCAAAATGCAGAATTTAAAAGTACGTATCTTACACGCAAACAACGATAGTATACATAAACCTGTCCTTTAAATCTTTTCATAATTGACGAAAAAAAAAAAAGAGATAGCCGTCGCCCCCGGACTATATGACGTGCGTAAATTACAACGGTGTACGCGTGCGAGTTCTTTGTTGTAAAATAACATGTTTGTTCATTGGCGCCGTTTAATTTACGGCCCTGCCCGCGGGCTCGTCGGGTCGCGAGGTGCGAGCTCCGATTGGCCGGCAGCGATTTCGCGGGTTCGACGAGTCGCGCGTGCGATCGCGCCGCCAATCGAGCAGCCTTCCTCCGTTTCCTCCGTTCAGTTCAGTCGGTGGCGACGCGTCGCCGTGTTCGCGTGTCGTGTGTTCACGTGTGTGTCTTTCGCTGTCACTTAGTCCCATCGTCGTCGAGCCGCCCCCCTTAGTACCCTTCAATCGCGCCCTCGCCGTCCCCTCTGTGACATCATTCGCATCATTTGACGTCATTGTTTAACCCTTTTATCGGTAATTTGGGCCGCCTGCCTTTTTTTTTTGTCAAAAGCGTTCCTTCCTTTTAATCGAATTGACGTGAACTCGTGCAGTATAAAAATAAATGCATGAATACGTTTCTTAATTGATTGCAACGCAATAGGTATGAGTTTTGTATGTATGTTTCTTTATTCTCTTTGATGTTGAGATTTAAAACAATTCTTGAGTTTACATCGTCGCGATACTGTTACTTCTGTGAGAAGTAATGCTATACCCTTTACAATTTCGGAAAAGGATCGTAATAAACATAATACGATAATGTACATTAATTCATTGTTGTAAAAATAATTTATATTCGAAGGGATTATATTTACTAAGATTTTTTAAAGTTTTTCTTTCCTCGCAATTTATTATTAACTGCAATAATCTGCTTCACATCTCATTTATTGTGTCACTTAAAGCTTACTTTTTTATTAAATTAACAATTTTTCTTTTGATTAATAATAATTTTAGGGTTTTATTTCTGAAAATGTTATATATAATGTGTACTATATATACTATACGTATATACTATACGTATATACAATTATACGTAAGTTATTTTTTTCTATTAAATTATTTTTTTATCTGCAATCAAAAATGATTTAATAGAAAAACTGTTTTTAAAGTAAAAATCAAATTCATTCACTGAAACTCGCGTGCAGGGAAGCTACACAAATTGAATTCCCCTTGCAATTTTTCGCGCTTGAGTGAAGCGACGAATGAATTTTAGCGATTAAAGTATCAGTTACCGTTCACGTGTGAACGTAATCGCAAATTTCTCCGAATTGAAGTAACGGAGTGACACGCGCGTTCTCGCGTCCCGATTCCGTGTATCTCACTTCCGCGAAGCGAACTTTAATCGGGACACGGGAAAGATGTAAAAAGCCGAAAGTAACTCCGGAAACTGCGCCGTGCGTTGGTGTGTCCGACGTTATCATCGACATCTACCCGCTCGCACAGAGTAAGCGTGTATTTATACGGAATTCACAGAACGGCAATTAAAGTTTGCAATTTTGTTTGTGGATGGGTGTATCTTATACGTGTGTGCGTGCGTATGTGTTTACAGGTACGCTCGTAGTTTCATGAATACGAATTTTGCAGCGAGTCGATCTGTACCGCGTAATTGCCGGCTGCTAATTTCGCACGCGGGAGCTGACTCGCGTATAAATAAACATTTTGCGTATTGTTGTGTTGCTTCTGTCTGGATGCGAGAACGCAGTTGCTTCCTATCGTCAATTATTCGCTTTAAATCAACGGTATTTTGGAGAATTTTCATAAAACAATATTTTTCGCGCAAAATTAGGAATAACGATGGAGAACGAATTAAAATGTGATATCTTTGAGGTATTAAATTATAACGAATTGTCTTTCTGTTCACAAATTTGTACAAATAATAATGTACTTGAGATACGCAGTGATATTTTTAAGAAACGCTTGTCTCAGAATGTGATATATATATAATTTTAAATGAAGGAAATAAAATAAAAATATTGAAATTATATGATAATTTATATGACTGTTGACAATGTAATTAACAATTCTTGATTTACATTGGAAATATATGTGAATATTAATTCATTATTCAATGCTGCACACAATTATTATTTCGTTTGGCAAATCATTTATGTACCAAGGCCATATTCATCTGTATAATATAGTTGCATAAATAGCTATTGTTTACTAAATGCATTGATAAAAACCTTGTTACGCAAGCTTAAATCTTTTAGATTTTAGACACGGATTTATATTGTTCGCGTTGATTATTAATGGCTACTTTTAACTATGATTAAGCACCGGAAACTACGAATATTTCCGGCACAGTAAACATTCGTATCAAAAAGGATGTGATATTTACGTATCGCTGAACTTGCGATACGATCGACGTGGTTAATGTTCACCATAACGCGAATCCTGCAATCAAGACGACCTATCAAAGAACTTAATTAATCAAAAAAAAAAAAAAGATCCAGCAGCGCACAGCTCGAGTATAACATAATAGAAGTTCTCGGCACCTATTAATTTTCTTCATTTTTTTATATACTTTTTTAAATAAACGAGTTATAATTAAAGTCGCATGCCTCTCATTCAATTCTAAAGTATCCTTTAATTGTGCAATCCAGTTTCTCACAGTTGAAAGAACACATTTTTGTTACACGATTGTTTCATCGGCAGTATTTATCAATATGTCGATATTATTATCGAATTGTCATGAAGTATGACGCTTGTAAGAGTATAGAATAGATAATACACTGAGAAAAATGTTTGATTGAAAATGGACGAAATGGAAAATTTTGATTATATGAATCAGAATCCTGGATTGTCACAACTAGTATTCTATTATATAATTGTAAGATTTAATTAAGAAATTCTGATTCATCCATTTTCAATCAGAATTTCAATTAATCCAACCAATCGTTTTTCTCGGTATAAACAATAGAAGATAAATTATTGATAATACTTTTGAGGCTTCCTTGGTTTTTTTTTCAAGGAAATTTACAGGTTATCTCCGTATCTTAAATATCTATATCTCTCATCGAGTGGTGTAAACATTACAGTTTACTTCAGTGCGAGAAATATCAGGTTGCTTCTCGCTCTGATGAAGTTTCACTGCATCGTTCATGACGTTGCATGCACGTTGACATTAAAATGATGTATCAAGACAACTCGTAAACCGCCTTCGTAACTTCCTTGAAGAAGAAATTCTTTTTCTTTCGTATTTGCCTTTTATTTTTCCCTCTACTGATTTACTTTCCGTCTGCCTTTTTCCAAGTGGGCTTCACTATCCTGGAGATTGCATCAAGATCATTATTATGTGATATGAGCGCGTGAAATCGGAGGGTTCTCGAATACTATCCGTGAAGCAATCGTAGCGCTCTACTTTAAATTCAGACCGATGTAACGCGATATGAAGATATCTTCTTTCTTCCATTGCA